AAGGGGTATTAGAAAAAATTATCAATGCTCCTTGAATGGTTAGGATTCCTTGGACGGTTTAGGATCTCCTATAAATACATACTTCGCAACCCTATTTCAACATAGTAAAAAAATAAAAGCTCCTCGCTCCTGTGGATGTAGGTACATTGTCGAACCCCATTAAATCTTGTGTTCTTTCTAGTTTCTTTTCATCAATAATTGTTGTAGTTTTTTCACAACAAGAAACATGCTATCAGGAAGAGTGACTGTGATCATTTACCCAACATACCAATGTTTCCACACAACCAACTTAAGTACCCCTGTATATACTTCAGCTATTAAAGAATAGGATGGCTGTTCAAAACAAAAATCTACCAGAGAAAGAAAGTTTCATTACTGAATCATCAAAGCCATCTTGAAGATAGTGATGGTATTCATAAGAACCTTGAACCAGAGAGACAACGCCTCCTGAGACTGCATAAAAAGTACGAATTCAGTATGAATAGGGTTGAGGAACTGCTGGACAACAGAAAAATAAACAGCAGCAGCACTGACCCCCGCCACTTGGAATCCCAATATGTACATCTTTAAGCAAAGAAGGCCCTGATGTTATCATACAAATATTTTAAGGTTAGTACATAAAAGACAATAAGTGAGAAATAGGAAAGGAAAACATGATAGGTAGACGCCCACTGCAAACCATGCAGAATGTTTCCTATTTGAAACTAAACGGTTACCTTTTCGTTTAGAGCTGTTTCCTGAACCATCCTTCATCATAGAGAAATCAAGAGCATTAGCAATTCTTAGAAGGGGACGATCAAAAGGTAATCCCAGCCTCGTGTGTAAGGATCTTCTGACTTCAACTGCACAAAAAGCAAGTTCAAGTGACTTGAGAGAACACAGGATTCACATGTGATTATAACCAGTAAACTAAGAGTAGACCAAGCTACAATATAGAATCTGCCCTGGCTCATCTTTGAAGTTATTCACTTGCTAAAAATAGCTCCATGAAAAACACACCAAGAAATTACTCGTGTGAAAGATATGCTGACATGTATGAGAGCTTCATATGAACTGATATTGCTGCATAAGCTGGCTAAAAGGCAAGCTTCACATACTAATCCAAGTGTTTAAAACAAAAGAGTATTATCAACTGCCTATGTAATGAAGTCAATCAATATGGTTTCAGATTCTGTATGTGCTACTTCAAAACCACTAAAAGGAAGGAGGGATCAATTTTGGTTGATAGCGACCTCTGCAACCACTAAAAGACAGGACAAATCTTTTTTTTTCTGGAAGGTCAATTCTCTTAAGGCAGCAGATAGTTTGGTTTTGCCACTACTTAGTGCTTACCTTGTTTCAATTCTGTCTCCCCATAATTGAGTTCATAGATAACTGTTATAGGATGCAACAGCCCAGGTGGATTAAAGTGATATGAACATAGCTGCAAAGAAAAATAAGACTTCCTGCTTAATTGGAGAAAAAGATAATAGGCGACAGTAATTTTTGCATCAGTAACAGGAATCTTTGGAATTAGTGGGCGACAAAGGCAACGATGATAAGGACACTCTGCTCAGGTCAATTGTAGAAACAAAAGCACATGGACATTATGGTGTTCTGTCTTAATGGTCTTTTAGAAATTTACTGTTTTAGAAGTATATTTTACTTCAAGCCTGTTTGTTTTTGCGTTTTAAAAGCATTTTTGAAAAAATTTCATATTTTTTTACTTCAATTTTTTTTCAGATCGTTTTGATATCAAAAATAAATTTTAAAAAATAAAATAAAATATTATTTCAATGGATTTTCAAGAGAAAAACACAACCACTACCACAATACCAAACAGACTCAAATCAAAACCCTGTTTTTTGAACTCAATGTAACCTGTACTTAGTTTTAGGAAGGTTGGAAGCTATACATGACATCTATGACTTCATTGCAAAATTCTGAAACCTATGCAATCGAAAGCTAAATTTTTACCACCAACTACTCTATGGGTACCTCTCTCCCTTGCTCTGCTAAAACTCAACAATTATATAGCTTGGTTATTTTACATCAGCTTGCACATAACACAAGCGTATGGTTTGTTTTTTCAGATGCATTGACAATGTCTCACCTGTGGGTGTTGAACTAAGAGTTTGGGCAAGACTGCCTTTTTCATTGAATTGAACTGGTCAACTAAAGCAGGGATGATCAACTTAGAAATTGCAGACATCAGCAGAAGATCCTTTGCCACAAAGCAGAGCACTTCCAGCTCAAAATTCACAAAAAAAAGTCTGGCTTCTTCCAAAGCTGAAATCACAAAGTCAAATTTGCATTACAGTGAGTTCAGACATGAAACCACTGTGAAATTGCGACTATAACTATTGTCATCCAAATACACTGAACATAAACAAAAAAGTATTTAAGATTGAAGCTGATACCTGGTAAATATTCCGCAAGGGGTGATGAAGATTTAGGGGACTTTCCTGAACTATTGAACAGAACGCTCACTTGGATTACATCTGCATTCTAAGCAGAAAAACATACATTAAGAAAAAAAGGAAAAAAGAAAAAGAAAAAAAGAATGCTGGTCATTTGTGATAATTCATGACGAATGCAATGTCAGATCAGACAAACTGCCTAAGAAATCAAAAGTATTCAAGAACCCCCTTTATCTCCAACATGAAAGTCATGCCATGAGAAACAGCTAAAATGCTATTTCTTTACCTCTACAGAAATCAATCCTGGGGAAGATTTGCTTTTCAGACAAAAGTGTGCGCAAGTCAATTTTTTTGCATCAGAGTCTTGAGCAGCTTTGTCATCCACAAGCTTGATATTTGTGAGATCTGTGTTAAAATCCAAGTCTACACCACGGATAATGACAGGTTGAGGTACACTAGATATGTCTTTGCTTAATCTTTCTACCATGTAGGTAGCCAATGGGTCTTTGAAACTGCTAGCAACCGCTTCAGCTGCACGCAAGTACATCTTTTCTGCATCTGAGATACAACAATAGGACCCTTTAAATGAGTATTACTGAAAGTGTCCGATTTATAACATCATATACACATTTGTGAAGAAACTAAGAACACAAATTCCAGTAACTAGGACATGTTTTGAGAAAGAAACAACTCAATTCACCCAGCTCACAAAGCGTTCAACTCTACCTGCCTGAAGCCACCCCAAGGGTTATATGATCCTCTAAACCCCTACCATTTGTGTGCCACAAATTCCAGTAACTAGGACATGTTTTGAGAAAGAAACAACTCAATTCACCCAGCTCACAAAGCGTTCAACTCTAACTGCCTGAAGCCACCCCAAGGGTTATATGATCCTCTAAACCCCTACCATTTGTGTGCCACAAATTCCAGTAACTAGGACATGGTTTGAGAAAGAAACAACTCAATTCACCCAGCTCACAAAGCGTTCAACTCGAACTGCCTGAAGCCACCCCAAGGGTTATATGATCCTCTAAACACCTACCATTTGTGTGCCTTTGCACTTGCCACCTTAACCGAAAATATTTTCAGCATCAGCTAGAATTAAAACACTCCTCGTCAATGATGCATTTTTGGTCCTTATTGCACCCCTTAAGTGGATAACTTTCTCTTAATCAGTATCCTTTTCAAATCTCTCTTATCTCCATTCCTCCATGTCCGCACAATCACATTGACTTTGAGCTCCTTAAGTAGGTTCCACCTTCCATATCAAACTCTCCATTAATCTTTAATACCATTTTTAAGATCTAAACTAACTAGAGATACCAAAAGTAATTAACAAAACACTGACTTTCAACACCCAATAAATTCCCCATATCTGAATTTTAACTTCCAAATTTAAAAGCACAATAAAAATAAAAATAACAATGATGACGACGACGACGACGACGACGACTAGTTAAGACTCACCAGCCTCGTTCTTAACCGGAAAATAAACCGGCATTTTAATAGGTAGATTACATCGAAACAAACAGCCTCTCTCCCAAACAAAATTCTCCTGATTCTCTTCATAAACAACACTATCAACGGCCGTTACATTTCCATTTCTCTCCACAAAAAACTTAACATCACCACCACTCAAACCCGCAACCGCACCAATCAATTCTCGATCCAAATTCTCTCCTCCACCACCAATTACAAACTCTCTCAATTTCCTCGCCCAACCAATCGCCTCTCGAGCATTCTTCTCACCATCATCAGAACTCGAACCTCCAGCAACTAACGCTCCGATTACGTCAAATCCTTTTATCAACAGCGTCCGCAAGTCGTCTGCGAAAAAAAATGGTTAAATAAAAAGGAAATCAGACAGTGCTGAGAAAATTGTGAAATTTAATAGATGGAGAAAGAGAACCTGATTCTTTGATGAAGTCTGGAGAGGAAGAAGAGGAGGAGGTGTGGATGGATTTTAAGGTCGAAATGATAGTGAAAGGAGGGAAAAATGGAGATCCGATAAGCCATTGGAGACCCGGTTCATTTTTTATTAGTATTAGTCTAGGGCACAATATTTTTATTGTATCCTCATCAGTTACCTTCCCCGTTGCTTTCATTTCTTCCATCCCTGCTCAACTCAAAAATGCTCCAAGCTCATGCTGTGCTGTGCTGTATTATATATCACAGGGAGTCCGTCTGTTAAATATGGTTGTTGTGTTTTGGGCCTTTAATATGGGCTTTGATTGTTGTAGATTGGGCCTTTAATATGGGCCATATATCACAGGGAGTCAGTCTGTTTTGTGTTTTGGGCCTTTAATATGGGCTGTATACACACACATTTTTTGATACCATGGATGGAAAATCAAAATATTTCATCCTCATATATTTTTCAAGTAAAAAAATTATATTAAAAATTTTACACTCCATAATTTCAAATACACTTTATACATATATATTTAATATCATGATGCAAAATAATTTAAAAAATATATATTTTTAGTTGAAAATACCTCAAAAAAAAAATCAGATTTCTTTATTTTTATACACTAAAAATAAATATAAAACGCAATGTTACACTAGTAAAAACGCAACACTTGGGGTTCCACTGTTTCAATGCTAAGTAAGAGCTTTTGCTAAATTTTTAAACAAAATAATATGGTAATTACATAATTAAGGGATGAAAAGAATCACATTGATTGTTAATATCATCCGTGCAACCATGATTTGAACTAACTACATACTGAAACTACTTCAATTTGAAAGAGCTACGATATCCATACACTGATATGCCCAGAATTCTGTTTATATGTATATATATGCATTAAAAAATGTGCATTGTAATATTTGAAGCTCCTCTGCAGCCCACACAAAAGTTCTTTAATCTTCCTTACGCAGCAGATCTACTTAGCAGGGGCGCAGGGAAGAGCCCACCGAACCAGAGGTGATCTTCGTTGCTGAGGGGCCAGCTCCCATGCCTGCAACATTGACACCCCTTTACTCACAAATGCAGCAATCAAGTCAACATCGAATATGGTGTGCTGGCAATATTTTGGTAACTCAGTTGTGTTTCTAACTCAGAGAAGTTAGATATTCGCTGTGCATCTTGTTTGTAGGAAGCAAATTCATGATTTTGCCAATTGAGAATTCAAGAACCAAAAACAAAATAAAATCGAAGCAGATGATAAAAGATGGCGTGAGAAGAAGGAAAGAGCATCCAATTATCAACACCAGATTAACATATTATTGGCCATTAAGTAACTTTCAAGACATGTGTCTCGTTTTAAAATCATCTCCGGTTTTACCTTGTTTGCCGGGAACGTGGGAGTTCTCCAGCAAAGAGCAACAGAATCCTCCCTTAGCCTGCCACAAGAGGATCGAGGAATTTGATAAGTACTTGCAGCGCGGAAAAAGGAAATGAGATACAGAACATGGAAGAGTAATCTTTCAATAACAAGTGCGTTTACACAACATCACATTTGCACTTGGTTAGAGACCCACTTGACAAATGTCTCATTGTTGAACTGATCATGATACACGGTAATGCTAAAAACTTCACTCGCTGCACGGCTCACCTTAGGAATAAACTTCCACTATTCAAGGAGTCTCGCGCAAGTTCTATTGAACACAATGCATGTACAAATGAGATTGGATGCTAGGAGAGCTCTTACCCATTCTCAGTGGTGGAGTTGCAGTCGTTGCCACTCAAAACATATGAATCATTGGCTTTAGTGCATGTTTCAATAGGTTTCTTCTTCCCATCTGGTTTTCTTGATGATTACCTATACAAACCACTTGAGTATCCTCTGAAGAACGTATCATCTTTTGCAGTCTGAGACTTTTAGGAAAGCAGTTCGGCTGATCCTCAGCCTCTTGACTAGAGAAAACTGCATAGTCAAGGTCGTTTCCCCCATCCTTTGAAGAAGAAAATCCATACCCAGGGGTTTTAGATGTATCATCATGAAGTGATCTGAGAGATGAGGTTGTCCCTATGCTCAGCACATTCCCTTCACTGTTTCTTAGAGCCCTCACTACTTCCGCTCTGTGATAACAGTTGTGTGGTATCTGGGATCGAGAATCAGAGGGACAGGCTGAAATAGCTCTCTCTCTTATCATAGGCCTTTCAGAGATGTGATCAGAGTAGTCGGAGTCAATGCCACATTCAATGGGTGGTTGTGATTTGTGCCTCATTCTCCGAGAACAACCAAAAATACAAAAAGATTGCTTCCATAGTTTGGCACATTTCGATGCAGGAGGAGCACAAAGTACAAGATTGATCCGAATTTCAACATTACAACCCAAAATTGTTTGCAGCAAACTTGCAATAAGCTTCCATGACTTTTCAGCCTTGGATGCATATTCAGAATGATGGAATTCCAATTCAGCTACTGCCAGACCTGAAGTGCAATATAGCTCAGCCATCACTCGCGAGATAGAGAAACACATTCCATGCATTCAAAAAAACTTATAATTAAGCTGGTAAAGAGAACCCTTTGAGCAAAGACGAGATATTCTACCAACATCTACAGGGTTTATGAAGGAAGAAAGTGATCGATATTGCCAGATATTGCCATGCCATTACAACTTTCAGCTTGCCAATATAAGCAACTAAAGCATGGTAAAAGCAAGCTTCATGAAGAGATTTGTGACAGCAAGTCCATTAACCTGTTTGTCTAATAGCATTAAAGCAAGTAATTATTAGGATAGGCCTCCCTAGTTATGGTGCAATCTATAATTTTATATGGTTTTCAATGCAGTAGACTGACATAAAGTTTGGTTATGAATCCATTGTTTGAAAGTCATTTAGTGACACTGACAGCATAGTACATGTATGGCCAATCCTTCATGTGCTCAATGAGCTAAGTATGGTAAAGGCAGAAGCAGAGACTTGAAAAAAAAACATCACATGAATGTACCTCTATTAATATGAAGAGAAGATAGTTTCCCTTGTTTCCTTAGGAAATTCCTGAGTGAATTTGATTGGCATAATTCACTAGTTCTCTTCCATATAGTATCTAATGTCACTTGGCAACCCCCTTGTACTTGTGATTTTTGCAACTTACTGTCTTCACATGAATACGGGGCAAGATGCTTCAAGCCCTCCCCGGTGGACGGTGTGCTGGAAAAGCCTCCATCTGTATCCAAAAGAATGAGCTTTATTTGAGAGAGAGAGAGAGTACACTTAAATGAACTGAATACTACAAAGACAATTAATTAGTGCTTATGGTTTCATCCTGACCTCTGTCATGCCCATTTCTGATTGAAGACTTTGAATCATTCACATCCACAGCCGAGGCTTCCAGTGAGCTCAACTGCAGGAGAGCTGCCGTAAGCCATGTACTTTGGTTTCTTGACATTCTCAGTTGCTTCTCACTTTCAGAAAGTATTTTCAGGGCATGACTCAGTCTCTGCATGTCCCCTTCAGCTGTAAAAAAGGAAACTTGCAACTTTCATCATATAAAACAGATACGCAAATATAGTAACGAATAAAAGTAGATGACACAACTAAAAACAAAGGGTGAATATGTACATCTTGAAGTTGAAAACAACACAGTTTAAACAGGCATCACATGCTAGATAGTCAAGCAGTAAATATGCTAATGATATTCCAGCAAAGCATCTAGAGTTTCCCATGGGCAAAAAATCAGTATGGATCTGGCCTATAATGATATATGCCTGGAGCCATGTATGCCGATTGTCTGTACACATTGCAACAGGTCACTGATGATTAAACTGGTACCAAGCAGTATGACCTTGTTAGGCACAGTCCACTGAACTGAGAATTAGCCCAATTTATCCTGCCATGCCCAGTGGCTTTAACCGGCAGAGTGAACTTGCATAGTCAGAAAGAATGCACGATTAAATACCAAATGAGTCTTAAGGAACCATTAGCAAAGCATTCATGTAAATGTTACTGACAATAACAATTATTTCCAAAGCTAGACAGGAAACATATTTGAAAATACAAGACTTACAAGAATGCTTCCTTGAAAACTTTCTTCTGACTTCAGAACTATCATCCTTGCATTTACCAGCAAGAACATCCATTATGAGATTTGCCAGCTGAGATACAAGTTGCATAGGATCAATCCTGGACCGCATCAACTCCCTGGCTCTTATAACAGTGCTTGAAGTGTCAGATGACAAAGCCAGATCCAGCAAGCCAAGCAATTCATCATCAGAAACAACTCCAATCTGTACAATAACATGACCATTTTCTGTTAATTCGATTGGAAGAAATATGCAATAAATATTCATAAGAAAAGAGATCACTCACAAGCTCATGGACCATGGTCATTGTGATTCTTTTACCGAGCAAACTCAATTGATCAAGCATAATTTCTGCATCCCTAAGGGAACCACTTGACTTGGCCGCAATGAAGTCCAAGGCAACATGATCAAAGTCAAGGGCTTCTTCAACACAGATATTCCTCAATCTGCCAGCTATATCAGCTTCTTTTATCTTGGGAAAATGATACTTTTGAGACCGTGTGACTGCACTTCTCGGTAGCATATCCAGTTCAGAAGTGATCATTACAAAGACAACATTTTCAGAAAGGTTCTCTAGGCTATTCAAAACAATTGCCCATGTCTCTCCATGCAACAAATGACACTCGTCAACAATGAAAACCTTGAAACGTGATGAAATTGGTGGCATTGATGCATCCTTAATAAGAGATCTAATCCTTTTGGTCTGATTAATTCTCACAGAGTCCACTTCTTTCACATCCTGGCTCCTTCCAGAAAAGAACACATAACATTCTCGGCAGAGACCGCATGGCTTGTACTCCTCATGTGAGAGGCAATTCAGGGCAGCAGCAAATATCTTAGAGGCAGAGGTCTTGCCAGTGCCACGAGGACCATGGAAGAGATATGAAGAGGTTATCCTTCCTCTAGAAATGGCACCCAAAAGAGACCTTACCACTACACCTTGTCCCACCAGTTCGTCAAAAGATTTTGGCCTAAATTTCTGACTCAAACTCCTAGGAGTTTCATTTGTAGCATGCTTCCAGCTCCTCTTCCGACAAAGGCTTGTCTCAACTACATCCCTGGTCAACAATGGATTGCCTTCAGAATCAGAATATGGGTTTGAATCTCTGAGTCTTGGGGTTCTTGTCCAGCAGCAGCTTATCCCACATCCGTGGTCTTTTGGAACCATGAAATCAGCCTCTTTGTTTGCAAACAATGATGTGCCTTGGCTTGACAGGGCATCACTGACAGAAAAGCATGGACCACCTACGCGACTCAAAATGTCACCCACCCCACCATATGACTGGACTTGATTTTTGTATTGAGATTTTCGTCTTGTCACAGACTGGTCTGTACTTTCTCCTAGTGGAGATCCCGCAATGGGTCCATTAGTTGAATCAACATCCTCAAAATGATTACTCGAAGGTGTGATGCATACCAAGTCCAGCTCTTTGTTCCTGTGACTGCCATAATACACTTCACTCAACGACATGGTTCCATTAATCTCTTCCTTACAACTATCCAATCCTTCCACTTCTTTGGTCCTAAAAAGAGCATCCATATTTTTCACTCCACCCAAACTGTCACCGAAAATTAACTTGGATTTCTCAAAATCACTTCCGGAATCAAAATTATCAACTTGTTGCTTACTCCGTCCATCAAGACCTAAATTTTCCCATCCCGAAACACGATTATGGTTTGATCCACCTTCTTTGGAACCATTGGTAGACTGTGAAGATATATCTTTGGTGGAATTCGTTTCCCGGTTGGCATTTTCCAATAAGGCAGAGAATTTGCTCATAGAATTGGTTGAGGGATCCCTTAGTGACCTCACTCTCCTAAGGGCTATAAGGGTTCTTGTGATGGGAATATCAACAGAATGTCGCCCCTCATCTGCCATTTTCCAAAATCAAATATTAGGAGTAACAAATGAATTCCTTCAGGACACTCCAAAATCAAATTTCAGGATCCATCACCATCGAGAGCTGCATTCCCATCCTGAACGAACGAAAAAACCAAACATTCTAGATAAGAAACAAATTTCCATATCTTATCCATTCATTAAAGAGAAAGATGGGAGGGGGGGGTGCCTCAAAACATTTCAAAGGACCAAACAAGACCATCAGACCCTCTATTTCTGTTCACTCTGTAAAACCCATAACCTTATAGAACGGAAAGTAAACGGATTTTTTACAATAACCATGAAATAGTAATTATAACAACAATTAATCTCCTCATTTTCATTTTCATTTCCATCAAAGGAAAACCGGCATAACCAAGTGTGAGAAAAGAAAATTGAAAAAACAACAGGTTTGAACCACAAAATAGTTAAAAACGGCATGCACGAATGTAGTACATCTTCTCCATCAACCACTTTAAATGAAGAACATATATATATATATATATATATATATATATATATATATATAAGGTACCTTCAGCCTACAAATAGAAGCACGAGAGAGGAGAAGCAGTGTTTACAGCTGACAGCAGAGCATGCACAAACATTAAGCAAATCCCACTCCCCTAAACGGAGAGATTAGCAGTACTTCAACTAAGAAATTAAATAAAAACACACACACACTCACAGAGAGAGAGGGGGAGAGAGAGAGAGAATCCAAGAATTCAAAGATTACAAACAAGAAGAAAAATAACAAGTAACAAAACAAAACAAGGGAAGAAACGACAAAGTACGAGAAAACCAAACACAGAACTTGAAATTAATTCGAAACGTAGTCGTACATCGTCCACACGAACATCGAAGTTAGCAGCAGACATGAAGTAGTAATGTGGTAGAAAATGAGTAGCGTAAAAAGCGGGATGGATACCAAATTAAGAGAAGAGAAGGTCTCGGTTTTGGAACAAGAGATACCACCGTAGCTGCACTAGTTCAACTGCAAAACCAAAATGATGCCGATGCTGCTGCTGCTGGACCCGGAGCTCTAGCAGTAGTAGTAAAGAGTTGATGATAGAGTTTGATGCTGTCGTGGTTGGTAACTAGTGAAGCGGTAAATGTCATTCATTAATGACCACTGAGGTGGCTGCTTTTGATTCCATTTAACCATGAGAAATCCCTTTGACACTATATATATATATATATATATATATAAAAGATAAATGCTTTTTCTTTCTTTAAAAGAATTATAATTATATCATGACAGGGTCAGTAGTCAGGCAGAGGCACAGGGATGAAGGAAGAGAACAGGAGGTGGGGGGGACTCTGGGTTTCGGGGTCGTTTCCTTGCTCTGCTCTGCCTGTCTCGACAAGAGAGCCTGCTTGGACTAGAGAAGGTGGTTTTGGTAATTTTATAAAAACAGGAGGATATTGAGTCCATTTCAGTTAGTTCACTTTTTGGTTGCTGACAGAAACTGTGGTGGTCCGTGCGTCTGTGTTTCAGTCTCTTCCTTGGAGCGTTGCTCGCACGGGCCTTGTGGTGACGAGACAATGTCATTCAACTCACGTGAACATCACCGTTTTTTATTTTTCATCGTCGAAGTCTCTTGACTTTCATTCAATAAAGTTGATTAATATTAAAATACTAAGATAACTTTTGCAGATAACCATTCAATATATTAATAAATAAATGTGCATATAAATTAACAAATTTAGTTGTGAATTTGAAATAAGGAGAAGGTAGTTACTTAAATAATCTTTTGCTTTAAATAAAAAAACTAAATTAAACAAGTAAAGTGACATTGTTGTCCTCGGAATCAGAAAATAAAATAAAAAAATGAAAATATTAGTTATTTTATTATTTAGATTAAAAATATAAATATTATTAAGAGAGAAGTTGGAAAAAAAATTTCTTTGCAAGAACCCCAACCCCTGCCAACTCCTCTGTTTCCACCCCCGACCTTATCCCTTTTTTAATAAAAATAAATTAATTAATTAATTATCTATGTCTAAAACAATAAATATATGTACACACACCTTAACGAAAAGAGGAGTTAGTAGTAATTAAACAGAGAAAACAAAAAAACAGGTAAGAAAAAAAGTAGTTGAGGGATTGTTAAGGTACTGTTTATTTTTTAATTGTTTTAATATATTAATACTAAAAATAAATTTTAAAAATAAAAAAAATATTATTTTAATATGTTTTTAAATAAAAAAAACAACAACGGCATATAAGATATTAATTAAAGACTGCAAAATGGACCGTTAACATTTGAAATAAATAGTGGCATCACGGGCTGAAAGGCGAGTGAGAAGAGGTGTGATAAAAGAAGTAACTATCTAGTCGGTCTGTTCCACGGAGAAGCTGCGCTAGCTATATTGAGCGAGAGAAAGATATTCTGATAAAACCCCAAAAAAAAAAAAAAAAAGAATGCTGTGCCCTGAGGAGCTGAGCCGGGAAGCCCTCTTCTTTCAAAAAAGCTGTCAAAATAAAATACCACCACTCTTTAACCCCACCGTCCTCCGCCCCTTCGCTTCCCTGTACAAAACACGCATGGGGCATATGCCCATGCCAGTCATGTGCACTTATTGCCGTGGCTCCTGAGCACACGTGCCTTCACTGCCTGCACGAGCGGCGCTCAACGTCCCTGATCCGTATTGAGCATACGGGTTAACCCGGTAATCACAACGTTTTTTCATGTTGAACAGAGTTTGGAGTTAACCTGGTTTATCAATGGTTAAGTAAAGCTCATAACTCAAAAACTTGATTAAAATCAATGAAAGACTCGTTTTAATTTTTATTTAATTTCTTATCAATAATGTTTTTTAACTCAAAAAATATATTATTTTAGATTAATCTAAATTCCATGTTTGGTCAGATTTATAACTACGCACCCTTGACATCGTAATTAGATTATTATGTTTTAAAATTTTTAAATAGTTTAAGGGTATTAATATTAAACTTAATTTTTTTAAATATCCGATATATTTTCAAAAAAAATGTTTTTAAAAATAACTTTTATTGCACTCCAAATTAGCTATTAAGGTAATGTTTAAGATTATGGTAATAATTATATTTTAAATTATATTTTGTTTGAAAATAAATTAAAATTATATTTTTTTATCTTTTAAAAATTTATTTTTAATATCATTAAATTAAAATAACTCAAAAATATATATAAAAAAATTAATTTAAAAACAAAAATTACTCGCGGGTGTTGACTCCAAGGAAAGCAACCGGATGAGCTGTAAATTTCAAGGTTGAGATTCTGTAGCAGAATCACAACAACAATGGCCGTATATGAGATTCTGTAGCAGAATCACAACAACAATGGCCGTAGCCTAGCCATGTCTGGCTAAACCGAGGCAGTAAAGAAGATATGCTTGTTCAATTAAAAGCCTGTCAAAGTGTTTTTTTTTTCACATTTAATTATGTTATTTTTTGGTGTGCAATAACGTTCTGATTCGTAATTAATTTATTTATTTTATAAAAAGAAGCCAATGTCATCAGATTAACGTGATATTCTTCAATAACCTTCTTTTTATGCAGGATTAATTAGATAATTAATTATTATAAAGTGCAAGTTGCTTGGTTATTCCAAAACACCAGGTTAATTATTATGCGTGGTTGATATACAAAGGGTAATCAAAGACTAATCATTTTAAATGAACAAAAGCAGAATCCCACGAGGATTATTTAACAATTCGACCGACCGCCCCATGACTAGCATGAAGATGGGTTAATTACATGAATACAAGCTACAAAGTGCTTCTACCGAGATGAAATTTTGGAGCTCTCTAGTGCCTCTATCCTAGGCTAAAAAAAATGGGGTTGTAAAGGACTTAGAATAATTTTCATGATTTAAAGCATCTCAAGATTGAAAATTTCCTAGATCTTGACTTTATGCTAATGGGTAATACAAGCATAGTATAAAACCGTGATGATTTTAGATTGTAGGAGGACGCTTTTACTTATGTTTTTTTTTTTTAGAAATATTTTAAAATATATTTTTTTTAATATCCACGCATTAAAATAATAAAAAAAATTAAATTTTTTTCCTTCAAATTTTTATAAAATATCATTTAAAACACTAGTCTAAGATACTATATAAAAATGTAGTGAATTCTTATTTTTAAAAATTTTAAATTTTTTTATTTAAAATAAATATTTTTATATTTTTAAATTATTTTGATATATTGGTATAAAAAATAATTTTTAAAAAATTAAAAAATTTACTTTTAAATATTTTTAAATAAAAAATACTTTAACCCACTTCACAATCATTACAATTTTAAACATACCCTAAAACATAATTGCAAATTTGCCGTGGGAGTAATTAGAGTACAATCAAGGAAAAATATTAGAAATTGAAGAGCCCTATGGCCTATAGCCTAGAAGGCTAGATAAAAAACCTACCATTGGACAAAGAAATTGTGAAAATAATATTTTTATTTAAAAGAAAGGAATCCTGGTAATTAATGACATTGTTGTCAGAGCCACGGCAGGGTGGGATTACTAGCTAAAAGCCTCGCTGGACAGCCTCATGTTTCCCTACGTGCCCCTATCAAAATATGGAATAATAAATCTTAAGGTAAAAGGTAAAGGTAAAAGAGCATGACTGATTGAATTGAACCGCCGTCTGCCTATGCTGCCGCCTGTTTTTCTTTAGGCCCTGCTTTTTTTCAAATTATTTTTTAAAATATTTTTAGATTTTTTTGAAATACTATACCAGAAATAAAGTTTAAAAAATAATAAAATATTATTTTAATATATTTTTCAATCATTTTCTCTTTTTTTGATTAATTTTAAATAAAAAATTACGAAGCAACTAGGCTTTAAGAAATTGCCTAATCGAATCGAGCCCATTTATCCTCAGAGGGTTCTGGGCCCATTCGTCTCTGTATTTAACTGGCTATGCCTGAAAAACGAAGCATTGAAGCTTGGAGAATCTAGCCCCTGTGATTAATTGACCACCATTTACTTGAACTTTGAAGGGAGGTTTGATACCATTGAAAATTCCCAGAGAAAATTTGAGATGGTGGCTGTACAGGGGTTCTTTGCATTCAATGAACTCGCACGATCTTTGTTTTGTTAAGTGACTCTGGGAAGGTTGTGTCCTTGGATCTGGAGGGAGACGGATCAGTGATGTGATGAACAAAATGCCGTTTTCTGGCACAATAATGCATCTCTGTTCCTCAAGACAGGCATACTTTTCGAAGGAAAGGCAGAGTAACATGATGCTTCTTCGAAATGGAATGATATGCCTGTTGAAGTTTGAACGCTGCCAGGTCTTTTTGTGCAGACCTGCTTTATTAATTGCAGATCTCACCAGCAAGATGACAAATCCCCTGTAGATGAAAGTAAGTCGTAGATATCAAGACAGTGACCAAACGAAAACAGGGGATACAAACACACAGATTCAGGACACAAAACATTGAAAAAATGAAAACAGAACAACACCGATGGCCTTGCTTTTTTCACGACCGATGCGGTCCTCGGATTCTCTTTGTTTCTACAACTATTGAATCCTATGAATCTAATAATTAAGGTTAACTCAGAACAAGTTCTTTCTTCGTAAAATTAGCTAAAGTGCCATTTTAATTCTACATCATGGTTTTGTCCTCAATTATAGGGTTGATGACGGTGATAGCTCCAATGATTTCATGCATGTTTCGTACTGCGATAATTGTTGTTTTTTTAAATTGTTTTTATTTATATTTAAAAATAATTATATTGATGATTTTCGATTAGTTTGATATACTAATATTAAAAATTAAAAAATATATTTTAATATACTTTAAATTAAAAAATATAATGCACCACATCACCAACATTTAGTAATTTTGCTTCTTCTTTTTTTTATCACTGACAATTTCAGTTTATTTTTGTTACAAAATAGGTAAAATTTATTTGTTTATGTAATTTTATTACAAAAAAAAAATTAAATTTGATTGACATCATTGAGGAAAAAACTGCATTATTATTATTATTGTCTTTAACTTTAAGATATGGTTTATGAGAGGTAGTCCATTGACACTTGTTACACAATCAGACAGTCCTTTCTCAATACATCATAAACAAATAAATTAGAATTATTGAGACTTAAATCTGCAAAAGAAGCTATTATTGTCTACTTGATGTACAACCACTAGGTTATATCTACTTGCATTTTTTAAATTTGGTATTCCAAAGACTCGTGGGTTTAATCAAGAATAATAAATAAAAAACTTGAGATAATTTATTTTATTTTTAAAATTAGTGAAGAATCAAAAGAAAGCAAATAAAATAAAATAAAAGAGCTAGATCTTTAATTAAATAAATAATGAAGTTTAAAAAAATAAAACCAAATAAACTCAAACAAATCTTTTAAATTTAGACTAATTATTTAAATTTGCAACCCGTGAAGTTCTAAACCTAGAATAATTCTAGACTAATTATTTAAATTTGCAACCCGTTCTAAACCTAGAATAATCCAAGAAGTATAACTCTTAATTAATTTAATGTTAATTAATAAAATTAAAAAAATATATTAATTTTAAAAATTAACCAAAAAAATTTAACAAAGAACAATAAATAAAAAGACTAGATATAACTTGGGTTAATTTTAAAATTAATAAAAAAATTTATAGTTTTTAAATCTAACCCTAGAATTAACCTAAAGCAAGTTCCTAGTCATATGTGTGTACTTATCTAGATTAACCAAGATTTTTTTATTTTATAAAAAATATAAAAATGACACATCATTTTATAGAAAAGAAAACTTCAACATGTTTTGATTGAATTTTTTCTAGGTTAATCGAGTCATGAAACAATCTAAATTTTTAACCAGATCATATTAGGTTAATAACCCCCTTATTTTTATTGAATTCCAACTTAATCTATTCCTTGAGTTATCATGGTCAACTTACAAGGTTGGGTTGAGTTTTAAAAAAATAAATAAAAATAATTGATTTTAATCTTTAATTGAATAAATATTGAAGGATAAAATTTTTAAAAATAAAAAACAAAAGCAAACTTGGATGGAACCCTTAAATCCCGATTAATTTATAAAACTTGTAACTTATCAAATTTTAAGTTGAATTCAATTAAAAAACTCAATTTTCAATCAATTTAATGTTAAAAAATGAAATAAAAATAAAAATTTTAAAAATTACCAAAGTAAAAAAAAATCAAAAGAATAAGGATCAAATTTGATATAAAAAATTAAAGAAGCATGAAATTGTAAAAAAAATCTAATTTTATAAATTATTCAAAATAAAATAAATAATAATTAAAAAAATTGAATAATTATTTTAAAATTTTAAAGTGTTCGGCATGGAATTGAAAGGCTAAGAAAAAATAACTAAAGAAAAAAAAGCCAGTCATGGTAATTAAGTCGTTTTAGTGAGGATAAAAAAAACCCTAAATGTATTTTTTTATTATTCCAAGAATATGGTAAAAAAAAAAAAGTAATGCTAATCAATCCACGTATAATTTAGAAATAACAATTGCATCCTAAAAAAGAACCGAATTGCACTCACTTGATATATAGTTGAAATGGTTCATCATTGAATGGTAAATTTAGCAGTAGACTGGTCCCAGTAATAGTAAATTGTGAGCAGATGAATGATAATTTTACGAGGAGTTTTTTTAGATTATTTTTAGTGTAATTACATACTTTACAAGCAGATATATTCATCGGTTCAAAACCAGTCTAAATAGGTATTTGGATTTGCAATTATCTTCGTCACTTGAAGACTTGATTAAACAGAGCATGTTGCGTCGCTCGCTGAGAAAAACATACCAACTAAATTCATACAACTCATATGCACACAGATATATTTGTAATCTTTCTGGTATTGTAAAGAATCCATGATTTCGATGCCAGATATATCCTTCAGTAAAAGTATTAAGTACATCATGCAACGCCATGAGCATTTAGCTTCAGAAACCAGCAAGGCAATCAGGGGGGGATGTTGTTTAGGACCATCTTCTTGTGGTTCATCAGTACCTAATGACCTGGCGGCGCTTCCATAGCTCATACATTACCATGTGAAACTCGTCATACTTGACAGGACGAAAATGCCACTTGAAGTACTTGCTAACCTGCAAACCAGAAGATATATAAATAAGTGCTGCTCCTGCAGAATCTCACCAGACGTTATCAAGTTAAACATTCCTCCATGGTTTAAGCACGCTACTGTTAATCAGGAAAGCTACGGTAGCATATTGGAAATGAGCTTGGGTTACAAGAAACAGAAGACGATGGATCAATTTTTTGGGAATGGAATGACAAAAATCACAGATAATGAAAAGAATCTTATCTACCTTGAGAACATTTTGACGCATATTCTCGAACGTGTCTTCTGGTATGCCTTTGAGAATCTCCCCCATTATGGGAACGTCATCCTCTTTGAGAATTACAGAGAATGCATTCCAGTCAAGGATGTCATTGAATGGCAAGTCATAGTAGTCGGACATGATAACTGCAGAAAGACACATGAACTGCTTTTGGGGTAAACTACACATCCCCTTCTTTTGATTTTACTATCCATGCTCTATCTAAGAATTTAAAGTTATTGCTTGACATCATCACAAACTTCAAAAAACTGTTAAAATGTTGTCAAATGTGGCTGCATGATGAATAAGTTCAGCACAAGAACAAGAGAAAAGCCTTATGGGAAGCATTCTTACCAGGTACACATCCAAAAGCCATCGACTCTGCTAAGCAAACACCACCGACTTGAGTCTTCCCACGAGGACAGATGCAAAACTTACTCCTACATATCTCCTTTTGAAATTTATCTAGCACAAACGCCCTTTTAGCATTCTCGACGAAATGGATCTCAAATTCTTCTAAACCTTTATAATGAACTCGAAGATTCTTTCTTACTTCAGTGCTGGGATAACCAGCCCAGAAACAAAGTTTAGTCCTGCGATGAAATAGCATTGATCATCAAATCCAACTTCTTCAACAAGAATTAACCACTGAATACTATGCGATAAATGCTTAAGAATACAACTACCATGCTAATATCTAGAAACTAAAAGCCTGCCCAAAAGGCATGTGATACTTGGGAACTTGAATGCCAGATTGTACTGCTGTTCTGTTCAAATGAAGCAAAAGCATCCAGAAAAGTAGAACCTGATAAATATTTTACTACCTGGGAGGGTGAGTCTCCTCTGGGGATAGCTGGATAGGGAGAGACTTCATAGTTGAGCTGCAAGTTGCATCAAGATTCTGAAAGTTCAGTATTTGAGTTCACTTAAAAATTAATGTTCATAGAGAATCCAGAATTGCATAAATGCCTTCAAAAGCTCACTACTGCTAGTCTGCTACCATAAACAAATTGTTACAAAATTAAAAAAAAAAAAAAAGATTACTCGTTCCACATGCCATCTCCTTCAGGAGGAAGAGAGAGCTCCAGTATCTGTGGGAGGGAAACATCCTTATGTGGAATATAGTTGGAATCATAGCTTGGTGAACACACAAGTCTAATTGCGTTCTTCAGGAGAAATGGGAAAGCTGCAGTAGCCCTGTTGCCAATGCCATGGCAACTGACAAAAAAGTGATCAGCGCCTAAAGTCCTATTCCAGTAACGGTATTTGATAGTTAAGGCGCGGACATAGTTCTGGATAACCAGCTCCTTATAACGAGGTAAAGCATCCTGCATTTACAAATAAATAAATAAATTATGTAGTTTCTTTATATGTATACCTAGAATGAGTGAGAAGGGAAGAAATATAGGAAAGTGCTTGAACATATCAGACAACTATATAAAAGAACAGAGTCTCCAATTCCCAATTATGTATCATATGTTGCAAAACCACTAAAATAGAATCTTTCAACAAACTTGTGGTCATATCTATCGTCGCATCTATCAGCTAATTAACACAGCGTCAGTACGTTGAACGTAATCTCAGAATTAATGAATTAAAGAAATCAAATGTTCCATTTATTACATTCAATCAAAAAGATCAAAGTAAATCAATTACTGGGTTTAAAGCGCATACCTGGTCTTCTATTGGTTGACAAGAAAGGGGAATAAAGAAGAGATGAGCCTCATCAGGATTCTCAGTCAAAAAAGAACTGTTTCTCAGATTCATGAAGAAATAATGCTCACTTGCATAATTGCTCTTGAGCTTCTTATCTATTGAGTGATAACACGTTTTTGGGTTTCCACCTGGGTAAACAAAGACCTTTAAATCCTTCTCCATTGCCTCATAATTCAGCAAGAAAAACTCTTCAGAGCGATGGACGCCAACGGTAGACTGTTGAAGTGCGTATAGAGTTGATTTTCCCTTCAAAAGACACAAAAGGAGCGTTAAATGGGGGAAAGAAAATGAGAGAAAGCAAAAGATAAAGCAGGGGAGCTAACATTGACTAACATCAAGAACTGAAATTGGCCTTCAAAAAAACCCAAGAAGTGCTCACCAAAAAGAAGAGCAAAAAGAAAATGCATGCAAGAAAGCAAACAAAGCAAATGTTGCAGGTTTAATAACCCTTAAACAATCTTAGACTGGGAGGAGTGAAAGAAAGAGTGAAAATGAGCATTTAGGGAGAAAAATGTGAAACAATGACCCAGTAAGAAATTGTTTAAGGGTAAGAATAATGTTTAATAACCCAAAATGTACAACAAGAACAAGAAAATACACGAAGGAAAGTCAGTCAGAAAGCAAAGCTTAGCTCTAAACCTTTAAAGAACCTTCAGTTAAGTAGATAAACCAGGACTGAGAAAAATGAAAGTGTAAGAAAGAAAGTACCTTGGAAGAGAGTGGTAACCAATACCTGTGCTGCAACATGATCGAGGCTATGCCAAAAAAGATGACCAAGATGGCAAGTGCTTTTAGAGGAGGCATTTTCTTCAGGGAATTCAAGTTTTTTCTTGGAGAGGAGGGAAGAGAAGGAATGAAAGGTATATCAATCGTTTGTGTTGTTTTGGCGGCTGAAGAGAGGGAGAGTATGGATGGATGCTTTAACTAACTCATTCTGTTAGTGTTAGTTATTTCTGGTATGGTACTCCCACTTTGTGCCTCGTCGCCGCCACCCCCATACCACCAGATGACTGCTGGTGCTGACCCAGTTCTGGAATAAAAACCTGGTATATGCAGGTCTGTTTGTCTACGAGGTGCAAATTATGTTTCAAGACCAAAAAGCAACACGGTTTGCAACGCAGGAAACAGCGAAAACAAGAACTCTGATAAAAAAATCCCCATGAACTCAAAGACATGCTAAGAATTTTTTTTCTTGAATCTAGTTTTTTCAGAAGAAATTTTGTTTTTCTAATTAAATTGATTAATTAAGTATAAGCATGAAATTAACATTGAGTGCTGATCTTTGGAATTGTAATAAAAATATACAAGGATTGGAGGTTTTTAACAAGGAGACGTCTATTGTTAATTTCCTTCTAGCTGCCATTATAGCTAAGCATTTCTCGTACTTGGTTTCATAGAACTTGGGTGTAATGTGGAGGCAGCTTCACTCCTCGAAGAACGCTAATGACATGGAAGGGATTGCCCGCAAGTTAGTCATTTCCTCCGATGCAGAGAATAATTTTTGAACGAGGAAAAAGCTGGGAAGGAGACATGTCTTCTGACAATTTTTTCTTGAATAAACCAACGAGCGGGTTGCTCAAAGGTTGTTCGTCCAAAGACTTGGTGGTAGTTCAATAATTTTCTTCCAAGTAATATTTATGTTATTTTACAAGCATTTCCAACCAAAGAAAATGTTAACGATTTGCGACTAGAATCTTCACCAGATGTTCTTTGAGTCAATAAATGAAAAAAAAATTGAAATTAAATCTAAAAAGTAAGATTATAATTCATGAAATTCTAGATCGAAATTCAATTAAAAAAATCAAGAAAAGCATCAACGATTCACTGTAGTTTCTCTAATTCAGTGCGTCCCAGCTTGTTCTGGACAGGCGATTCTTTATTTCCATTCTTCCTTCGTCGGAAAAGCATACCTGGAAACCAGCTGTTGATTCCCTGCACTATCTGAATGCTTGCAGCAGATGGACGAATTCTCCAGGTTGTCAGATTTAATCGAAATGGGTTGAAGTGCTCGAAATGTTCTGTTCCATTACACTAATTAAGTGGTGACTTTTTCATTAAAACTTTTCATTAATTTACTCATAATATTTTATTATATTTAATCTAACTTAATTATGTATACATTTTATTAAATCTCAATGTTTGATATTTATAAAAAATTAATTTATTAATGCAAATGAATATATTATTTTCTCTTAAAACGATAATAAATATCTGTAAAGTAATTTATTAACATGTTTATATTTATATTATGTCAACATTACCCATTATAAATATTTAATTGATTAAGTTCTCATTTAGGAATCACCAATTTAACCATGACAATTTAACTGTAATTGTAGCTGTGACTTTTATGTATTTGATAATACTTTAAAAGTTAAAATAATAATCCTTTTCATGTGTTATTTTTAAAAGTCATGTGTTATTTTTAAAATCTTAATTTTTTCAAGTAAATACTAAATAATTAAATACTGAATGATGTAATTAGATTTTAAATTTGTTTTTTATAGATCACTAGTTAAAGTATTATAAACTTTAGGATCGCTAAAAATATACATGGTTATTAACTTTAACAACCGTAAAATTAATCAAGATGTATATAAGTTAGTTTTATACATTCACCTTTATTAACTTTAACAACCGTAAAATTAATTGAGATGTATTTCACGTTAATTAAAAAAATACTAACTAATTAAGTGTTATATAAGATTATAAATTAATAATGCATTCATCAACTATAAATATCTTTAAATATATAGTTTATTAAGTGTTATATAAGATTATAAATTAACTATAAATATCTTTAAATATATAGTATTTTATATATTATAATATAATTTTAAATAAAACTCTGAAATGAGCTGGTATAAAAAGTTTTCATGAGAATTAAAAATTCAGAAATTTTGTTGGATAAAGTGAAACCGTCATATAAGCTCTGTTTTAGGCATTTAGATAAGGTAAAGTGCAATATTTATTGTGTTTCATCCATACCTGATTTGCACTGCCCAGTTAGAAGTGATGGGCCTCTGATTGTGCACTGCTATTAATTTTATTTGCAGAGAATATCATGGATCTATGATTTAACCAGAGTAGGGAAAGGCGATGTTTCACAGTGGCCTGAGGGAGGTTGTCCTGGTTCTCTTGTCGATGTAGTGAATACCATGGATAGAAATTTGTGCGTGAAGGCTCTGGGATTTTGAAAGATTGGCTACAGTTATTCCAGATCATATCAAACTTAGAATTATGTCCACATATCTCTTTCAAACTGCTACTTGGGCTGAGAGGGTGTGCTGGGCAGCGAATCCATCAGGTATATATGATTCTAATCAGCATATCTTTGGTTATGCTCTGATATGGAAGCTGCAAGTACCGGAAAAGATTAAATTCTTTATTTGGCTGATCTTTCACCGTGCCTTGCCTGCCGATTTGCTTCAGTTGAATCGTCATTTAACCTCTACGCCGGCATGCCCTCGTTGCCTAATTGCTGCTGAAGACGAACTCCACTGCTTGCGTGATTGTGGAATGGTTAGGAGCATATGTAGATCTCTCGGCTTCTCTCAAGATACACAGTTTTGGAATGAGACTCTCACTCAATAAGATCGAACTACTTTCCTATATAATATATTATAAACTCAAATAAAAGACACTTCGTAAATGTTTTCTCCTCCCTTCAAATATCGATTTCTCTTTAAAAGATATGAATCCAAATTAAAACCAAAATCTAGTGTTTTAATTGATTTTTCTCTTCTCACTAAGTTAGAATCTCTCCCTTCTCTTGAACATAAATTGGTTAAGTTTTTTTCATAAGACATGAAAAATCTCTAAATTAAAGCTTAAAAAAATTGTAATTTTCTCATTCATTATTTCGATCCTTCATAAATTCATCTCTTATCTAGTGTTTAAAAAAAAGTTCATAAATTTTTTTAATATTTGATCAACATCAATACCACGTCAATTTGATGATATTAATAATAATGATAATACTGATAATGTCAATACCCCATTTGTTTTTACATTTTAAAACTATTTTTTAAATAAAATTTTTATTTTTTATTTTAAATTAATTATTTTAGTGATTTTAAATCATTTGGATGTATTAGTATTAATTATTAATTATTTTAGTGATTTTAAATCATTTTGATGTGTTAGTATTAATTATAATTTTTTTTAAAAATAATTTTAATATATTTTAAAATAAAAATACTTTAAAAAACAGCCCTATTTTAAATACCAACCAAAAATAAAAATTACTGTGACTGAAGTCGCCTCTAAAATTGATGCCATTGGATCAAAATCCTAATTAAAGATAAGGACAAGAGCCTGGTGGATAGTATGGCTTCGAATAATCCCTCTCCCACTTGCAGTTCGCCTCCACCACACGCGAATCTACCGATCTTCTCATTGCCCTCATTTTTATTTTCTGCAAATGATTTTTCTGTAGATTTTCCATCTTTGCTTCAGTCTGCATCATTCACGTTCCTAGAAATGATATAATTCCCATGTTCACTAATACCCCAATGGGCCCCCGATAGGCCCCCAAAAACCCTCATAATTCCCAAGTTCACTGATACCCCAATGGGCCCCCAAAAAGCCTCCCATCCCCGCTAGAATCTGTCAAGTCTCTACTCATTGCTTCAAGGGTTTTTAGGACACCAGTTCCTCAAAAACAAATTTCACTGTTTGGAAGAGGACACCTCATCCAACAAAATCATGAATTATTAACTACTTATTTAAATATTTTTTTAAACTAAATTTTAAAAAAACTAATTAATTTTTTATGTTTATTAGTATAATAAAAAATAAATTAAAAAATATTTTTTTAGTATTTGGTTATGTCATGAAAAATAAATTAAAAAATAATTTATTAGTATTTTATTTTTTTCAAGTTTATTAAAATAATAAGAAATAAATCTTTCAAATTAAAAAAATGAATGAGAATGAAATTAAAAAAATTCATAAATTATCTAAAATAAAATAAATAATAATCAAAATAATAGAGATTAAATTTTTAAAAAATAAAAAAATTAAAAGATAAAAAATTAAAATAATAATAATAACCCAAAAAATTAAAAATTAAAATAATAATAATAACCCTTTCATAAATTATTTTAAATAAAATAAATAGCAATAAAAAAATAAAGATAAAATTTAATAGATAAAAAATTTCAATTAAAAAAATAATAATAAAATAATTATTATGAAAATGAGGATTAAAATTAATATAAAAATAAAATTTTAAAAAATAAAATTAAAAAATAAATCTTCAAAATAGAATATATACAACAATCAAAAGTTTGAGTACTAAATTTCATATAATCAATAAATATTATTATTTTTTTAATTTTTTAACAACTTTCAAAAAATATTTTCTATCAGAAATAAAGAAAAATATTTTTTTTAAAATAAAATTAATTTTTTTTATTAGACCTTGCTTTTTGTTAATCAGAAAGTATTTTTTATTGGTTAATTTTTTTAATGGTAAATAAATATAAAAAAAATAAAAATTAATTACTTAAAAATCATTTTTACAAAACAAATGCACTCTAGGAGAAAACAACGTTAAAACAAAACCGACTTTTACTGGGTTTGCTCACAAAGGACAGTTGACTATATATTAACAATTACTTTGTCATCTGTGACTTATTATATACGAATCTAATATGCAAAACTTATATAAAAAAAATATACTGATGAATATTAGACGAGAATAATACTAATCTTCTGATTAATTATTCTTTTTTTTATTTCTTTTTATCACTTAAAAATCATCAAGCATGATTTTTTTATTTTTTATTGAAAAAAAAGAAATAAATGAATGAGGAGAAGGATTTTTTTATTGAAAAAATAATCTTTTCTTTCTTAATTAAAATGATTGGTATTTTTATGAATTTTTATTTTAATGGCATTTTCTTATTAAACAATCATGCTATTAATAAAAAGATATGTTTCTGTAAAGGCAAAAAAAATATTAATAAGAAAAATAAATTTAATCTAATAAAACATATTTTCTTACCAAAATTTAAACCGTTGCCTTTTGCTGTCTAGGGATATTTTTTAAAATCAATTTTTATTTAATT